GGACCGCCCTGCTTCTGAAGCAGTCACAGCGCTGGCCGCAGGCGGATTCTGTCATGCAGGGCCATGCCGGCCCTGGCAGGAACTGCCCACCGAGCGCTGTCCTGGTCCTGGTGACCACACTTATTCCCGCCCCGTGGGGGTGAGCTAGCCACCCAATAGAGAAGCACTTGTAGTTCAACTCTCCCCTCTGACAGGAGAAGCAGCTGAGCCCAGGAAGCCAAGCAACTAGCCACAAGGGGTGGAAGCTGAAAACTGGGGCGTGCAGGAAGTGGGCCGAACCCAGGCCCCAAACCCGGAAGTGAGCGGAAGGGAAGTGGGGTGGGGTGGGTGTGGGCACCCATCCCCTGGACTGCAGGCTAGAAGAACCAGGACCAGCAGCTCCTACCAGGGCCTGAACCCTCAGCAGCCTGCACAGAGGAGCCATTCTGAGGCCAGGCGAGGGGGCCAGGACCACCACAGTGGCCCTAAGGGCAAGCTTCCAGCCGTTCCCAGGCCCGAGGCCCCAGCAGAGGACAATTGCCCCATTGGCCGGTGGGGAGAGGAGCTCCGGCCAACTGCGTGCTCCGCCCACTGCGGGGCCAGGCCGGCTCCTCCCACCGCACCCTCTTCTTAATGAGGCCGTTGTTTGTGCAGGGTTCCCCAGTGGCGGGCCCCCACCCCTAACCCCCTGCCCTGGCTTTCCCCTTCACAGCCCTGCCGGGGGTCCTCCCCGGGTTCCTGACTTCCGCCCCTGCACCCAGAGCACAAAGTCCCCCGAGGCCTCCCTGCTATGGTCCCCTTGCTGGACCTGTCACTCACCCCCACCCCCAGCCTGTTTCTCACGTTAAGCAGAGATGCACGAACTGCCATCCACTTCTGTCCATGAGAGGAGGAGCTCCATCCTGAGAGCATGTAATTCCAGCCCAGAGCAAAGCAATCTGCTGTTTTATTTACAGGCAAACGAACCGTTCTGTGTTGATTTGGGGAAACATGGGGAATGGTTTATGAGCATTTAGTGCCGCCTTCCCAGTCCCTGGGTGGTCAGGAGCACGCAGAATGGAGGGCAGCTTTCAGCTGCAGCGTCTGGAACCCGAGGCCCAGCAAGCCACAGCCTGGTGGGAGGGTGGGACCCGTGTTGCCAGCTGAGATGGCACACCAGCCTTGAGCACTTACCCTGAGCAGTTCGAAAGCACCTTCAAGAATGTCTCATTTAGAGGAGAATGGAGGAGAAGGGATTGCGGCGTGACCATCCCCCCTGGGGGGTGATTTCTCGCTTTCTGTCTCTATGTCTCTGTCTGTCTGGCGAGCGCACGCGCCCTACAGTGAAAATCTCTCCAAAAAAAAAAAAAAAAAGAATGTCTCATTTAATCTCCCCAATAAATTCTTCCTGTCTCTGCAGATGGGGAAACTGAGGCGTGGGCGCTGCATCTTACTGGAGTTCCCACAGCCTATACATGATAGAGGCAAAATCCTAACGGGCACAGGTACCCTCAACTGTCTGGACCCAGTGCCTTTCCAGGTTCCACCAAGAGGAGCCCTGGGGGACCAGCAGGTGGCGTGGTGGCTAAGGCACCGGACACTCTCACATGCCCGACCACGGTTCGACTCCCAGAACTCTCTCTCTCTGGTCAAATTAAAATAAAACAAATGAATAAATAAAATTAAAATTAATAATAATAAAGAAAACAGGAGCCCTGGGGTGCCTCTCCCCTACCAGGAAGTCACCCAACTGTGACAGGAGGCTATCTGTGATGTGTATACCAGCTGCCTCTGGACTGTGCTTCCTGGGGGCGGTGGCCCAGCCGAGGTCAAACCTGCTGCAGCCTCAGTGACTTGTCTCATGGAAAGGTCAGCTTTCCCCACGAGGCAGGAACCCACAAGCTACAGAAGGAAGCCCTGCTACTTGGCTGGATGACTCTGGGCAAGTTACCAAACCTCTCTGAACCTCAGTTTTCTCATATAAAATGGGGATAATACTGCTTCCCTTCCAGGAAAAGGGATTGCAGAGTGACCATCCCCTCTGGGGGGAGCAATTTCTTGCTTCCTGTCTCTCTGTCTGTCTCTCTGGCGAGTGTGTGTACCCTATAGCAAAAATCTCTCTAAAATAAATAAATAAAAATTAAGTTAAAATATTGCCTCCCACCCAGTGCTGTTGGGATGATGAGGTGAGAGCACAGATGGGAACGCACAGAGCATAATCCCAGGCACCTAGGAGGCCCTAAACAAGCATTTAAGAGAGGGGGGAGGGGCCAGGCAATGGCGTGGTGGCTAAGGCAGCTGGCTCCCACCAGCCGACTTCACAGTTCAAGTCCCAGACCTGGTGACTTGAAAAACACACCAGGCAAGTGTGCACGTGTGCACAAAATCCCAAGAGGAGAGTGGAGGAGAAGAGATTGTGGTGTGGCTGCCCCAACGCTGGGAGAGGGGGGTGATCTCGCTCTTTCTCTTCCCTCCGTAGTGAGTGCACATGCCCTATAGAAAAATGAAAAGAAGAAGAGAGAAGAAGAGAAGAGAGAAGAAGGAAGGCAAGAGGAAGAAAGAAGGAGGAAGAGGAGGAAGAGGAGGAGAAGGAGAAGAAAAAACAAAAGAGAAAGAGGAGGAAGGGAAGCCAATCTGAGCTTGGGGGCTTGTCTATCTTTCCCCACCCCTCGGCTGGCATGGCAACTGTCACATGACTCAACTTTCTCAACTCAGTCTTCACCAGCTCCTCCCACAGTCAATCTGTAACCCTGCTGATGTTCCCTGGGTCTCCCAAGAATTCAAACAGATCCCAAAAAAGGTTCTGGGCTCCAGCCTGAGCCCACCTGATTCCAAAGACTCCTGGCTTCTTCCGCTTCCTCCCAGCACGCAGCACCCACCCATTCGTTCGCTCATGTAGCATTTACTGAGCACCTACTACGTGATTGGCGGTGTGCTCGGAGCAAGGGAGACCGAGACGGACGAGGCGAGGTCTAGCCAGCGGGAAGTGAGAAAGAGCAGGAAGCACAGTTACAGAACGGCCCCTGGAATGAGGGCTGTAAGGGAGCCTCGGTGCAGAGTGCCTGGCAAGGAGGCCTGGCTGCCTGGCTACCAGCTTCATCCTCAGGCAGCAGCCATGGGGGCTGGAGCAGAGTGAGCTGCCGGGTGTGCAGTTTGGAATGATGGTTCAGCTCCCGCAGAGTGGAAAACCGAGACTGAAGACACGGGAGCTGGGCGATGGGAAGAGGGCGTACAGAGAGCAGAGAGAAGGGAAGGGCATGAGTGGGCACCAGGGAGACTGAGGGTAAGGAACTACCGAGCTGGGTGTCGGTCTCTAAACACCACTGTCACTCCAGGGCTCCACGGTATCATTTAGCAAACTTTTTTTAGAGAAAGTTCTGCTATAGACGACATGCACTTGCTAAAGAGACAGAGAGACAGAAAGTGAGAAATCACCCCCAGGGGAGATGGCCACACCAACCCCTTCTCCATTCTCCTCTCAGGATCTTGGGCATGCACAGGCACACACATCTGGCGTGCGTATTAAGCCCCCGGGTCTGGGACTGGAAGCGTAGTCCACAATGTGAGTCCAGAGACATGACCATTACACCATCTGCTGGCCCCTATAATAAGCAATTTAAAAAATGAACTCTATGGGAACCAGCAGTTAGAGTAATGGCTATGTCGCTGGACTCCCACTTAGTCGACCGAGGTTCGTGTCCCAGACCCGGTGGCTTAAAACTCACGCCGGGCGCTTGTGCGTGCGTGCCCATGCTCGCGCCCTAGAGTGAAAACCTCTCCAAAAAAAAAAAAAAGAAAAAAGAAAAAAAAATATATATATATATATTTTTAAAAATGAACTCTAACCTTCTCAAGAATCCTAGAAGGAATTATTGGTACATCATCTCCGCTGTACAGATGAGGAAACTGAAGAGCAGACAGGGCAGAGAACTTTCCCAAGGCCCAGGGCACTGCTGAGGGTAGAGGCCAGTCTGTCTGCCGAGTTCATGCTCTTAACCGAAACACTTGACCACCTCTGGCTTCTAGCCAGGGTTGCCTATTAGCCACAGCCTAGGCCTCCTGGGCATGCTGGGGACGGGGGAGAAGAGGAGAACCCGGGGCAGCCTCCCTGGCCACCGCCCATCTAGAGAAGGCCAGCAGGGCCCGGCCCCTCCCACTTGTCTTTGTGCTCCTGATGAGCACGCTTAGAGCAGGACGAAGCCCCAGGCCCGACACGGCCCGGTCTGCTTTTGTCCCCTGAGCCTCAGGAGACCCAGGACAACCCGGGAGCCTGTCGTGCCCACCACAGGCTCACAGAGGGAGCACTGAGACTTGTCCCCCTGGCCCCTGATTCGGTGACCTGTGAGTCTGGCTCCAGGTCCCCCTGGCCCCCTGATTCAGTGACCTGTGAGTCTGGCTCCAGGTCCCCCTGGCCCCCTGATTCAGTGTTCTGTGAGTGGGGCTCCAGGTCCCCCTGGCCCCTTGATTCTGGCTCCACCTCTCTACAGCTGGTCCCCACTGCTACCACGATCCTGAGCAGGCCCCCCTGGACTGCCACAGGAGCACAGGCTGCCTGGCAGGGGAACCTGAACAGCTGGAGCCTCTGCACAGATGTTGACTTTGCAACTGACAAAACCCAAGGCTGTTAGGACCAGCAATGGCATAATGGCTACGTCGCTGGACTCCCATGTACTCAACTGCAGTTCGAGTCCTAGAGTTCGTGTCTTAAACTCAGACCAGGCGCGTGTGCGTGTGTGCCCAAGGTCCTGCGAGGAGAATGGAGGAGAAGGGACTGCGGCGTGGCCATCCTCCCTGGGGGGTGATTTCTCACTTTCTGTCTCTCTGTCTCTGTCTTTCTGGTGAGCGCATGTGCCCTATAGCATCTATACCTCTCAAAGAAAGAAAAAAAAAGAACCCTAAGGCTGCAAAGTGAAACAGTGCTGGGGTAGGAACAGCACTGGACTGAGAGTCAGAAAGGTCCCTGTGCCATTTCCTCCCGTAGAAAATGAGGGGGTGCTGTTCAGTGCCAGGTGCCACCAGCACCGCCAGCTCTATTCGGCCTCATGGCCCTGGCTTTTGGCCGAGCATACAGCAATGGCTGCTATGAAGACAGTCCCCCGCCAGGGAAGCCCGGGTCTGTAAAGGGCATGTGACTGCAGGGGACTTGGAAATAATGACAAGACTCTGTCTTACCCCTTCAGGTTTCCCAGACCTGCCAGGAGGCCGACAAGCCTGTGCTGGCGGGACCTTCTCACAGCCAGAGCGGGCACAGTGACAGGGACTGGGGGCCTCATTCCATCCCTCAGCCACACTTCAGGCTCAGAAGACCATCAGCCTCACCTCCATCACCCTCCTAAACCCCTTCCCTATTAGCCCGTTTGAGCCTCAAGTAACCCATGGAGAACGCAGGACAAAGGGGTCCTCTCCATTTTGCAGATGAGGCTGCTGGGACTCAGGGTGGAAAGGACCTGCCGGTAAATTGAAAATGCCTAACTCAGCTGTTTTGAAGTCAAGCTCGATCCACTCCCTACTGCCCCGCACTGCCTCTCCAGAGAGCCTTGTCGGGAGGCACGGATGGCACGCCTGGCTCGTGTCTGTGTCATGGCCTGTTACAGTGTCACAGAGCTGCTCTTACCCACGCTCTCAGTAAGCCTTCACTGCACCCAGTAGGTGGGTACTACTAACCCTATTTACAGATAAGAAACTGAGGTTCAGAGTTCAACAGACACATGCCCAAGGACACAGTGCTGGGAAGTTGTCAGAATTTGCCACGGGCCTGACTCCAAAACCCAGGCCCTTCCTGCCACACTGCCTCGCTTTTGTGTGTCTATCTCCACGTGGATAAGGACACGCTAGTTCCATGTCGGCGCCTGGCCTGTAGCAGGTTCTATTTAAGTAATAGTTCACCAAACTTTATTCCAAACCTGTAAGCATGACGAGGAGGGGCCAGCAGGTGGCGCTGCGGTGATATCGATGCACTCCACATGGTCAAATGCTATTAGAGTCCGGGACCCAGAGGTTTGAAACTCACGCGGATGCGTGTGTGCGTGTCCAAGACCCCAGGAGGAGAATGGAGGAGAAGAGATTGTGGTGTGGCCATCCCCCAGAGGTGATTTCTCACTTTCCCTCTCACTGTCTCTGTCCTTGCTCTCTGGCAAGCACACACACCCTAAGGCAAAAACCTCTTTAAAAAAAAAAAAAAAGGAACCAAGGAGGGGCTAGCCCTGCGGCCTAGTGGCCAAGGGAGCTAGACCCCACATGGTCATCAACAGGGTTCAAACCCTGCCCCTGGAAGCTCGAACAGCACATTGAGTATTTGTGCATGCCTGCCCCAAATCCCGACAGGACAGAGAAATAGAGAAACAGACCCACGGCGGGTGGGGGGAGGGCTCCTTCTCTCTGTCTCTCCCTGCAAGCAGATGCACCTTCTGAAAAAAATTAAAAAGGATCAAAAGAAGATATTTCATACAGAGAGGAGGAACAATCCAGCCAGAAGACACATAATCATGAAAAATTTTGTTCTTGACAACATAGCTTCAAAGTATACAAAATGGATTTTAAAAAGAAAAAATTGACAAACCCACAAGACAGATTTTATATACCTCTATCACAAACGGATAGATTGGGGCCAGCAGGTGGCATGGTGGTTGAGGGCGCTGGACTCCCACATGGCCGACTGCAGTTCAAGTCCCGGACCTGGCAGCTTGCTTTCTCACTCCCAACCCCTCTCTCACTTCATCCTTCTCTGGTCAAATTAAAATAAATAAATTTATTAAATTAAAAATAAAATAATTCTTAAAAAAAAAAGAGAGAGAAAGAAATAGTTAGATTAAGTAGGCAAGCAGTTCTCAAACATTTTAGTCTCAGACCTCTCTTTTGCATTCTTTTTGAGAGATTCTTGCCATAGGGCACATGCTCTCACAGTGAGAGGAAAGCGAGAAACCACCCCCTCAGTAGGGATGACCACATTGCATCCTCCTCTTGGGAGCGTACACACATGCACACATGCCCGGTGTGAGTTTCAGGCCACTGGGTCTGGGACTTCAAACTATAGTTGACCACAGGAGGGTCCAGTGCCTTGACCGCTATGCTGCCTGCTGGTCCTGCCCCCTTTTGCACAGAACTGAGAACCTTGGGGCCAGCAGGTGGCATAGTGGTTATATCGCTGGACTCCCGCATGGCTGCTCGCATTTCAAGTTCCAGACCCGGCAGCTTGAAGACCACGATGGGCCTGTGTGCACTCAGGCCCAAGATCCTGGGAGAAGAATGGAGGAGAGGGGATTGTGGCGTGGCCTCTCCGCTAGGGAGTGATTTCTCACTTTTCCTCTCATTGTCTCTGTCTCTCCTCCCCACCCAGCGAGTGCACGCGCCCTAGGGAAAAACCTCTAAAAAAAAAAAAACTAAAGACCTGAAAGAGAGTTTGTATATGTGGGCATATATCTATCATTATTTACCATATCTGAAATTGAAAATGAGGAAAAATTAATTCACTGATTTAAATAATAAAAACCATTATATGTTAACATAAATAAATTTTTGGAAAAACACATTACATTTTCCAAAACAAAAACAAAATCTAGTGAAAAGACTGCTATTGTTTTACATTTTGGCAAATCTCTTTATGTCTGGCTTAATCGAAGACAGCTGGATTCTCATATCTGCTCCTGCATTCAATCTGTTGCCATATGTTGTTTTGGTTGAAGTATGTGAAGAAAATGTGGCCTTGCACAGTAATGGAGCTGGAACAGGGAGGAGCATTTCATTAATCTTTCCAGGTAGCTGTGGGGTTTTTTTACACTACCAAGAAAACTGATATGTGGTAGGTTCTTAAAGGCTCACTGTCATACAGAATCTGAAATGATATTGACTTCTTTTACTCTGTCACCGTAACATCCATTGATCTAGCTTGTACTTTGGAGGGGCCCTTGAACTATGTACGATTTGAACTTGTAGACCCCTGAGAGGGTCTTAAGAGACCTAGAGACCCCTGACTGCGCTGTCAGAACCACCAGAATAGACAATTTCATAAAGAAAAGCATGACTTGATAACAGCACGTTTCCCCTAAGAGTTTCGTTGTAGAATTGTGTCCACAATAAGCCATAAATATACATTCTCTGGAACAAATGGCCCCTCCGCCAGCTGGGGGAAGGGTGAGCCTGGACAGACCGAAGTGCTCCAGGACAGATAGTCGCCCGGTGTGCCAGCAGCTGCCCAGGCCCTGGTTCAGCTTCCTCAAGAAGGGCTCTCTGGGCTGGTTGGGGGTGGTTGGGGGTGTTGGACTGCCACATGGCTGACCTCGGTTCAAGGCCCAGACCTGGTGGCTTACTTTCTCTTTTCCCTCTCTCCCACACCCTGTCCCTCTCTGTTCAAATTAAAATAAATAAATAAAAGTTAAAATAAAACAATACTTTAAAAGGGGGGTGGGCTCTCTGAGCCGGCTGGTGGCATGGTGGTTAAGGGCACTGGACTCCCACATGACCAACCACAGTTCAAGTCCCGGACCTGGCGGCTTGCTTTCTCACTTTTCTACTTTCACTCTCCCTCTCACACTGTCCCTCTCTGGTCAAATTAAAGTAAATGAAACAAATGAATAAAGTTAAGTAAAATAATCCTTTAAAATAAAAAGGGCTCTCAAGAGAGCACAGCCTTCTGCCTGCCTGCCTGCAGAGCCAGGGCAACTGGCCACAGCGAGAGCCCCACCGAACACTGCCCCAGAGTGCAGCCCTCGCCTGGGCTTGGTTCCCATGAAGGGCTTCCCCTCTTGCTCTCACCGGGTGCCAACTCTGTCAGGGAGCCTTCAGGTCCCCAAGACAGACTGGCTGGGTCCCGACTGCCCCTCCTTCTCTCCCAGGCTTCCGGCATGGGGCCCCCAGAGCCCTTGGGTACAGACTCACTCAGCTCTCGGGCCGAGCTGTTCTTACATAACCAGCAGCAGGTACAATGCCCAGGTCTGTCCAGGCTAGCATCGCACGCCAAGAACAGCACCACTGACCAGCTGCCCAAGGAGCCAGCACCTTGCACAACCACCTGTGGGCTCAGACATCCCTGCCAGTGCCCATGGCCACATCTCCCCTGGAGGGCAGAGAAGCCTGCCAAACCCCAATCCAAGGGGGCGAGGGGGCAGCAGTGCAGGGAGCAGCGCTCTGCGCAGAGCCCAGACCAGGGCCTGGCAAGCGAGGCTCACGCCTCATTCCCACCCAAAGCCACCTGCCCTTTGGGGACCTAACATTCCTAGGGGCCCGTTAAGTGCTAGCACTGTGCCTGGGGCTTCTTTCCATTCATTTTATTTGCCCCTCACCATAACTGCTGAAAATTTTCTATTAATATTTTGCAAACAAGGAAATTAAAAGTCAGGATGGGGAAGCTCTTGCCTGAGGTCCCACAACTAGGGAGCTATGGGGTCTGCACCTGGCTCCATGGACCGTGCCTACACTAGCCCTCGGGCCTTCCGAGGGGCGCCGCAGAACCTCTCCACGCAGCAGAGGAAGGGAAGGCCCCCGGCTTGCTCTGCCGGCATCCACCAAGTCATCCTGGATGTCAGGAGACAGCTTGTCCCGCACACCATGCAGGGGCTCTGTCTGCTGCTGCTTCTCCCAATTCGAGCAGGTTGGGCATGGCCGGTCTGAGCCTCGATGTCCCCAGGACACCCTACCCCATGGCTTCACACAGTGGGGACTCAGGGCACATTCATAGACTACTGAGGGGGTAGACCCTTGCCCCTCTCCACTACCACAGCAAGACAGGACCATGGGAAGGCAGGGGCTCTGAGAACACTGGGCGGGGCAGGTGGGATGAAGGGGGGTATGGTGGAGGGCAAGTGCCCAGCATCCCTGCCTCCCAACAGGGCTAGCCCCAGCTGTCCAAGCCCTATTGTGAGACACCTCCCAGGGCACCCTCCCCACTCGTGGCCAGGAGGTCAGGTGTCAGGCTAGCTTCCCGAAGCCTCCCACCCCCACCAAGCCCATCCAAGTTTCCTTCTTTCTTTCTTCCTTCCTTCCTTCCTTCCTTCCTTCCTTCCTTTCTTTTTTTGAGAAGTTTTTGCTATAGGGCGCGTGCACTCGCCAGAAAGACAGAGAAAGACAGAGAGACAGAAAGCGAGAGATCACCCCCCAGGGGGGATGGCCACACTGCAATCCCTTCCCCTCCATTCTCCTCTCAGGATCCTGGACATGCACGCACATGTGCCCAGCATGAGTTTAAGCCACTGGGTCTGAGACTCGAACCGCAGTCGAATACAGGGGAGTCCAGCAACAAAGCCATTACACCAACTGCTGGTCCCCCAAGTTCCTTTATTGCTAAATACTTATTTGTTATTATTATTTAATTTGCTATAGGCCACATGCATTCACCAGAGAGAGACAGACAGACAGACAGACAGAGAAGGAAAATGAGAAAGCAAGCCACTAGGTCTGGGACTTGAACCGCGGTTCGTCATGTGGAAGTCCAGTGCCTTGACCACCACGCCACATGCTTAAGAGAAAGTCAATGGAACGCAGGGCCCAGACAGGAGAGGGAGACCCAAAGCATGAAGTTCCTGAAAGTCACCTCCTCTGTGTCCTCAGATGCCCAGCTCAGAGACACTGTCCCTCCGCTCCTCCTCCCACCACGGTCTGTCCTCTGATGGAGTTTATCGCATTAAGTCCTGGACTTCGGAGCCCCACACCCAGATTCAGGTCCTGCCTCCTTCACACGAGCGAGCGGTGTGATCAAGGGCCAGCTGCTTCACCTCTCTGAGCCCCTACCCAGAGCCGTGAGGGAAATCCCAGACCGGGGAGGCCTGGCTGTTTCTGGCCTCAGACTCTGGAGGCAGCCTCCCGCCAGCTCTAACCTTTAACCTCCGCCTCGGTATCTGCATCTGCGAAGTGGGCTGAGGAGCAGTGCCCGGGAGGGTGAGGGGACGGACGTGGCCCCAGCCACCAAGGACTGCCCTCACTAGACAGCCGTGGCCGAGGCCGTGCGGCGCCTGGCGCGGTCTCTGGCTCCTCGAAGAGCGCACTAAGTAGCTGTGACCATCTTCACCCCCTAGGGTGACCGCCCTGGGGGTGGGCCACGCCCGTCCTGACTCCCGGCCGCACGGTGCCCGCACCACGCGGGAGTGCAGGCGGCG